AAAAGCATCTGTTACATGCAGAGAACTAAATGATTCTGGATTGGTTTTTTATGCTAAATAAACCTACCACGATCCTCTTTGAACGATAAGTGAGCTGGTATTACTGTCTGTAGCTGTTTACGTAACAAAAGAACAACTTTATGAACTACTCTCACAATATCAAATTTAGTTTGTTTGAAGGTAATAAATGCTCACCTTCAAGGATCTTAAATCCGTCATCGCATTGGTGTAATCAAAAATTCCATTCACAAAAGGATCGAAGAATAAGCTGTTTCAACAATTCCATAAATACACATTCATTGAGTTAGGAGGATTGAAAATTCAGCCTAGGAAGAAAAATATTTTTCAGACAAGCATTCTGATATTTTAATTATAATACTAGTAATCAGAGAAGTCCTCCTTATGGAAGATGTGACACCTTCAAACAAGCATATAGCAATAAATAGTTGTCACACCTATATCATTTTGCTCTGCCACGGGTTATCTTCAAAGTTAAACCACAACAATTCAGTTCTTTTTATTATATTCCATGTCATGTGATTTTAGGACAACCTGTATGCTAGACATATTGCTCTTTCTAACTGATGGAACACTTAATAACATATTCTAAACTTGAAGGACTAAGTATAAGAACTAAGTTCAGGTTGCCAGCATTCTTGTAAACCCTCCCACCGGACGAAACTAAAATATCGAGACATTGGGTTTCGGAAGCAATTTGCACTTCAAAGAATACAAGGATCAAACCAGTTAATAGTGAAGTCTCGTTGCATGCAATTCTTCCAGCGCGTAAGATCTCCTTGAGTACAATCTGCTGGCATTTGAGACATACAAACTTCTTTCCTTTCAGATTGTTCAGCCACAGTTTGGAAACTTGATACCTGAAGGAAGAATACGAGATAAAAAACAGTGGAATAGCACAATAGGTCAACTATAAGCCAAGAGATGTAAAGAGACGCTCCAAAAACTAGACGAATCTGCACTAACCTCAACTATAGAGCCTTTAACAGAGACCCTACATATAGGAAATCGGCGTCCGACAATTACTGCACTGTGAAACTTCTTCCGGATCTAAACAAACTCAAACAACTATAGTTTTAAGGAGACCACTTGTTTGCAAAAATTCGTAGATAGAAGCAAAGAATTAAACACAATAAAGGACCTGCTTAAGTCCAGCTGTCGTGATCACGTCGAAATCTTTTGGGACTTTATTGAGAAGTAAATCTCTCACACACCCACCAACTAAGTAGGCGTCAAATCCTGAATGTTTAAGATTCAATAACAAGAAAAACTGGATATGTATACAGAAAGCATCTATAGTAATTCAATGGAGCCTCAGAAAATGGAAATATCCACATTTATGCTTCAATATGTACTGGAGAAAACAGAATCAAGCATACAATTAAGGAAACTAAATACTTAGCATCCCACATTTCAAATATTTATATACTTGTACATAACTATTAAGAGCGAAATATAATGCATAATGTAAATTTTCCACCCAAAGTTTTCCAGATTTAGAACTTTTATTGTTTAGTCCTGGAAAAGATCCCAGGCAGCATATTTTTTCTAAATGAGGTCCCAGTAACACGACATGAAGCGGTACAATTTTATTGATGAGGTATGAGATCTTTGGACAACACTTTCTACCGAGGTAATCATATATTTGATTTTCATAATCGGATCCATAATATGAATCCAGGAGAACACATGCATTTAGAAGACAAATTAAGAAGTGGGGGGTAAAACATTACCTTAACTAGCTTTAGTCCATTTATCTACTGTTGCATTATTGTGACCATGAGATCATACGAAAAGTATCATTTTTGTAATTCCACATCAGAAAATACTTCTCACTCATGCCACGATTGAGGTGAAATTTCATTCCATTATCAAGGTTTTCATTACTAATTAAACAAATATCGCCAAAAACTAGTTAGACAACCAGATTTCAATGGCAGACCTTCTCATTTATGTACGCAAAACTATTTTTCTAATGTAAGATATCAGATTAAGTACCGTATGCAAATTGTCTAAGAGTTAACTTGTGCCAAAGTTGTGAATTCACCTCGTCAGTCATTATACAACTAGCACAAATGAACTCTTTTCACAATAACGAGCCCCTTCCTCAATTTTTATACAAGGTTGCTATTCTTTTAGTATGAATACTTTAAAATTTTCAAAGGGGGGAAGTAACACATTTCCAGTTAGAAAATGCAGCGACGCTCTGACAATACATTTTACTGGTCCTAAATTGACTTGTGGGCCGTTGTCTTTATATGATACAGGATAATAGGGTATCTCATTTATATCTTCAAACTGTGCAAAGGGCTACATAGGAAATTATTAAGCGAGGTGAAATTAAAACATGCTCAAGCATCACCTGCACTCCGTAGAATCTTTAGAACAATCCAAGAAGACAGAGATATCATAGACCTCGTTATCCCCAAGCTCCTCGAGTCCAGCTTTCTCCATTTTGAAAAATTATCTCGACCTAAGGCATTGTCAAAGTTTAACTTTTGAGTCCATAAAAAGCAATTGCAAGAATAAAGCACCAATGACACAAGCTTATTCCACTGATAAGTGGTAGAGTCTTAGTTAATTCAGGTTTGAAGGAGAAAGGAAGCTCTTTTATCAAATAGGCTAGTTTCATTAAAGAAATTGACTATCAAAACACAGAACCATACTACTCGAAAGCATACCGCCCAAACAAAGGATATGTCTCAGGCATAGCCAAAAGCCTTTCCTTTCCTCTCCTTTACAGTTGAGCTACTTCATCCCTTTCTAAAAGCTCTATTCAGTAATGAAGTCTGCTTTCCAAGCAGTATTATGAAGCAGCATAAATGTTAATTATAGAGTTTATATTCTTGTGGTAGTGACATGGTTTTCTCATAGAGAGTTGCAGGCCCAGAAACAAAATTTAGCTACTCGTCTTCTCCACCTCCTATCTTTCTTTTACAAGATTCTTGACTATAATTCTTTGAGTTAATTCACTGTTTTTTTCTAGAAGTTGATTTTGGGTTATCAACTAGTAACAATTAGCATTCAGTAACCCGAAAAATGTTTTCACTTCAATGTACAAAGAAAAGGCAAAATAATGAGATCCCCTCAAGACAAAAAGAACAGAACAGACTTGGCCTAAGGGATGATCCAGAAGCCGAACCCATATCACCAGATGATCGAAGTTGACACCCTTCTTCAACAAAGGTACCTTTAAGCCTCTGAAACGAATGCAAAATCCTATAAGTAGTACTCTCGGCTCGACAAAAGTGTTGTGAACCAAGTGTTCGAATGAATGTTTGAAAGAAAGAATAATAGTTTGAAGTTTAAACCTGGAGAATGAGAAAGGATTTCCGTGTACAAAGTAACGGCTTGCTTTTGGCGGGTTGTGATAACGCCATGAGAAAGATCAGGCTGGCATCATGGCTGCTTTGCCTTTGCTAGTGGTGAAATGCAAGGTTGCCAGCGGAGAGTTTACAAGAGAGCGATATGGTAAAAAAAATAATTTCTCAAAAGAACTCGGCCACCAAGCAAGCCCAGGCTTCGCCAACCCAACCAAATTTGACAATTCCTACGCGAGCTCTCGTTTGGTTACGCTAAAAAAGTTATAAAACTTTAAATCAAAATCAAGAATTAATTTTAATCATAAAATTCTTAATCTTTCAGCTGGACATTTCATTAACGCAATGGAAGTAAGAAAAAAATTTAAAAAAATCGTTCAACTCATTTCTCTATTATCTCAAGCAGATATTTTATTCTAATTAAAATTTGATATTATTCGTCTTATTACATATTTTCCTACACAATTTTATTAGTTTGAAGTATAAGATGGTAGGTACTAGGTATATTTACAAAATTAATTCTTAAACTTACATTTAACTTAGTGACAAGTATAGTGAATTAAGATCAAGTGTCCAACCAGTACAATTTTAATAATTTTTAAGAATTGGCAACCTCATTATATGCAGTGCCAAAAATCATTCTTATCCCTGATAAAATAATAATAATAATAATAATAATAATAATAATAATAATAATAATAATAATAATAATAATAATAATAATAATAATAATAATAATCTTACCTGTTGATTATGTGAATTTCAAGGTAATAAAGAATTAGACTATTTAGTATTTTCACACTATTTGACCTTGGATTTAACCTTTCAACCTTTAGGCAATTACATTTGAATAAGTAATTATTCAACTAAAATACATGATAATATTAATGGTATTATTTAGAGCTCAATTGGAGTTTATTCGAAACAACTTAAGACTATCTAAATAGCAATCAATAATTTGGAAGTAATAATGGAGCAATTGGAGGAAATTCATAAGTTTCGATAGTTTAACAATTAGAAAGATTTGAAGACTAAATTATAAACTTTCGAAACTTGCATTATATCAATATTTTATGATTGCAGAATGACGACGAGCAAATTATAAGGAAAGATCATATTTGGATCTAACTCCTCGAGAAATTTCTATTGCCTTGATTTAGCTAATTAAGATTTCAAGATGAAGGATTTATATTGTAATTGAGGAAGGGTTGTATAATAGAAGAACTCGGGGACCTAATTAAATAACATGTAAAATTTAGGGATTTCGATTGAAAAATATTGTTTACCTATTTTGAGTAGAATTTTCCTTGGAATACATTTGAAACAGTGATTTTCACCAAATTTTGGATTTTGTCTGTTGTACAGGCCCCCTCATATGTTGGGTGGATGGATGGGGAGTGGGTGATTATTTAATTAAAAAAATTCTCCCACCCCCCATGTATTGTGTGTGGCCTGTATAGATCCTGTAAAAGCAGGGCCAGCAGGTTCTCCTAATTTTTGGAGTCTATAAATACGTACTTTCATTCTACAAATAAATGAGGCTTGTTAGGATTCTTGATACACAATTTATTCAATTCAAGGGCCTCTTGGGACACAAATTTAATATCAATTACAAGAAAAGAAAGTCCAAAAAGGGAGAACAATTAATAAATCAATCAATAAGGTAGGGTTTCAAGATTTTACAAGTTGAATTCTTGGTGCAAGATCTACATTTTTTCTCCCTCTTTTTTTTGTTTTTTTTTTTCAAAATTTGATGATGTACTTTAATTTTTATTATTTTATTCTTTTCCAATGATGTGTAATTAAATAAATAGTTAGAATGAACGATTGTAACCTAGTTTAAACCTTTACTTTACTTATAAAGCTTTAATCTTCAATTGGTGTTGTGAATTGTTTTTACTTGCATTTTTAATGGTTTGAATTACCACTATTCATTGATGTGTAAATAATAATCACACCGAGAGGCCAGTTACATATTTAGACCAAGTGGTAAAAAATTTATAATTTGGATACAATAGTAGATATACTTTTTTATAGTGTCGAAGTCATTAAATGAATTCTTTTGTGATTAAATGCTCTTGATTAATATTTATCCGGATTCACATATAGATATGGTAGGTTGTGGTAGGTTGACTTAATTGGGTAGGATTGGGTTCTAAACCTGGAGGAAGTTTAATTAGAAGAGGCTCTTCAACAAGGGATTGACCTAAGGCAAGGTTGACTTATCCCGGAGGAAGGTGACTATCCTTAATCTCTTCTTCCCTCTCTCTCCTTTTTTTGCCTTCGGCTATTACCGGCTGACTTTGGTCTTCTCTTTCTGTATCTATTTATCTCCTGCCCACTCACACTCACACTCACATTCTCTTTATTGAATCCTTCTAGGCAGATAGGACGTCGAAAACGGCCTAACAAGGCAAGGCAAGAACAGTAGATATTCAACAAGAGGGCATCCCCCCAATTGAGCTCAAGAGACATAAATCAATTAATTACGTGGATCGGGATAAATTTTTCTCGAATTTAAATCAATCCTACTCAATTAAATCAATTTGCCATATATCTATGTGAATTGAAATAAGTTTTAATTAAGAACTTCCAATAATTAAAGTAACGAACACGAAAACAGTAAAAGCATATTTATATCCTTTTATCCAAATTGCAAATTTTTAGTACGTGGTGTCTAAACAAATAATTCGTATTATCGCCACATAAATCAATGCATTCTTAGTCGATTAATCCAAAGCATTAAAATGGAAGTAAAAATAATTCACAACATCAATTAAAATTAAAAATTAATAAATTACATTAAGGTTCAAAACTAGATTATAATCATTCATCTTAACTATCTATTTAGTTATAAATTATGATAGACTAAAAATAGAAGAATTAATCTTATCCCCACCGTCGGATTTTAAGGAAAAAGGGAAATAGATGTAGATAAGAATTCGCAAACTCCTTGTAAAAATCTTGAAACCCTAATTTCTTGATTGATTTCTTGATTTTTCCCCCACTACTTTTGGGTTGTATTTTATTATAATTGATATGACTTTTATATCCTAAAGGCTTATTTGGTTTGTATAAATTGTGTATAATGAATCCTTGCAATCCTCCTTTAATTGTACGACTCCAATTGCATTCCAAGAGAATTCTATTGAAAATAAGAAAATATGATATTTACAGCCAAAGTCCTTGATTTTTTCTATTCTTCTATTAGGCCCCCAAATTGCTCTATTATTCAGCCAACATCCTTCCTTAATTGCAACATAAGTCAGTCACCTTGAGTTCTTTATAATTTTGCTCATGATCATTCCAAAACCATAAAATATTGATCCGATGCAAGTTCTGAAAGTTTGTAATTTAGTCTCAAAACTTTTTAGTAGTCGAATTTAACTCACACAACTTATTGATTTCTTCTAATTGGTCCATTACTAATTCCAATACCTGGATAGTCTTGTAACACCTATAACTAGATACCTCCTAGACTTCGAAGTATAATCATTTGAATTTTCTATTGAAATCATACATACAGAAAACAATTATAATTTTCTTTAACATAAAAAACATTAATGACTTCATTTATAAAAATATTTTGTACTTGATAAAAATATAAGACAATTAAAACTCAACTTTATTTTCAAAATGATTTCAATATATAAATGTGATAGTACTGACTTCGTCATATTGAAGTAGTCATCTTGAATCATTTTACTTTCATCAATTGAAAATGGAAAGGAATAAAATAGAAGGAGCTAATGCTCAATACGCAAACCTCGTGCATATAATACATGCTTATGATATTAATATGAATTACTTTAAAATAAAAAGCATTTCTTAATATATATTTCCATTTTCTTCAATTCTTTAAAAACTTAAATGCTAACATCATGGGCCCAATTGTTATATCGCTTAACCAATCAAGATGCAATAGACAATTATTATTTGGAACTTGATTCGTTCTATCAATAATATCGCAAAGCGGTTAACATTAATATTGATATTGAACATTGGTCCAGTAAACAGTTCCCCACTCCTCATGTTTCACTTACATTTGTCATGTTATAAATATACAGCTTTTAACAAAAACATTCGATATACATATCTTTCTTAAAAAATTCTTTGACTTGTTAACATTTGAAAACTTTTTATTCCTTGAAACTTCATATATACTTATGGATGCATTGACGTACTATGTCATAAGAAGCATGAATGATATAAAATGTAATTGTCAATAAGATTATTTCTAAATATTGTGCAAAATGGGATTATGTGCTTGTACTTATTTAATATTTAATTGTATATTTTTTAGAAACACAATTTTCAAATGTTAGACAATCTTAGCTATATCTAATTAAATATTGATTTTTTTGAGTAATATGAGCTTAATTGTCTTAAAATCCTTAGATATTATGTATAGTTTTAGTACTTATGTTATTACTATGATTTTATTTTTTTATTTTTTTGGAGGTGTACAAATGAATTTGATTTCGACATAAGATTCACCTATATATTATATAACTTTATTGGATTAAATAAAGCTTAAAATGATAAACGGTAAACTATGCCTAAAAAATAAAGAAAATGAGTATATAGCATATTAAATTAACACTAATGTGTATGCCTTCCAAGTCATATTAAATTGCTTACTTAAATAACGTATGTATTTTGAATAAGAAATATGTGTATAGTGAAGTCCATAATGTGTTTTTGCGTGTGTATAAAACTATTAAAAAAAAATTTTAAAAATCGTAAAAGGGATATGTGGAGTTTAATTAAAGTTGAGATTTTCTATAATTAACATAACTTAAACAAATTAAGTAGATAATCATTCAATTTACACATGAACATCCTAATCGATTATGATTAGTGGAGATAATTATGACCATTGAGTTTGTGTCCGGTGATGAATATGACTCTGTCATCTTATCCTCCATCGTTGCTTGTATTCACCATCTCTTGATTGGAGGTGACTTCCAAGGACATGAAGCTGTGTGTGTTAGGGGCCGTTTGATACTTTGTCAAGTGGCATTTTAGGGATCGGAGAGTTCTCAGATACCATGTGAAAAAATATTGGAAAGAAACTTTTGTTCCACTTAATTAATTCAAGATAGAGTACGTCACTTTCTTCCACTAAATAAGGGAAGAAATAATTGACTTTATAAACTTAAACACAGGAAAAGAAAAAAAAATCGGGAAATATTCTAACCAATCCTCTAAATAAGGAAATTAGACAAACAACAAATCATTTGTTT